GGAAGGAAAAAAGAGGAAGAAGAAAAGAAAAGAAGGGGGGATATCAGTTGCAATTTTCCCGCCAACAAGTTGTGGATCAGGGGGGGGGGGGAGCAAAGAGCCCTTGCCTCCTCCCGCCCCGGCCCTGGAAAGAAAAAGGAAAGAGGAGAGCGAAAAGGGAACAAAAAAGAGGACGAAGAAAAGAAAAGGGTGAAAAGAAGGGGAGATCAGTTGAGGTTAATCCCGCCAACAACGTGTGGATCGGGGTGGGGCCGAAAGGCCCTTGCCTCGCCTACTCCCAGCAAACCTAAGAGAGAGAGAAGGAAGGGAAGGGAAAGAGGAGAAAAAGGGAAAGGAAAACAAAGAGAAAGAAGAAAGGTAGGGGAGATCAGTTGCGTTTTTTCCCGCAAACAAAGGATATTTGACTCCGTACTTCGTTCTAATGAAGACGGTCGCAAACTATCCCGCTTGTTGGGAAGTAGTGGGATATTTTGCAAACTAGACCGAGATGTCTTGGGATATTATTCCGACCAAGTATCCAGCTAATTTGCTACTTCGGTCTAATGAAGACGCAAATTAGCTGGATAGTTTCGATCGGGATAGTTCAAATAGCTAGATATTTGGCAATCTCGAGATAGTGAAGACGGGCCTATGGAAACTAGCTGGAGATAGGACTTTTACTATTACTGCATCTTAATATTGGAATAGGCTACCTTTAATACTCAGGCAATCACCAAGTATATCTCTTCATTCAAAAAGGGACTTAAAGCATTTTGGGCAGCCGTTGCGGCGTGTTCGGAAGTGAGGTCCCCGCATAAATATTCAATTGTTTCTTCATTACGAAATTAAAAAAACTACCAAACTATTTTTTAAACTTTGTTCTCTTTGGTCGCTGGCAAAATGTAAAAATTGACAAGTCAATATTGTCGTCCCCCCCCCCCTACCCCCACTTATTTTGATTTGCCTGTATGCCTGGTATCCCGGCCGCTTTAATTTCTTTTTCATTGGTTTTATCTGTACCTACTACTTTTTAATTCTGAAAAAATTGTTTTTACTCCTAATACCGCTTTGATCATCAAACATGGAATAACCAGCTTTGTTTAAATTTTTTGTTTGTGTGACATCATGAACCTTCAGGACATCAGATAACGGAACTGACCAAACAACATTCACTCAAGCTGAGCATGCAATTCGAAAGGCTACACCAGAGTTTCTCGGCCATTCTTTACGCTCAATTGCGGTTTTTTCATGGATAGATGTACATCTAGAAGGCGGAAATTCAAGTCTGGTTCGTACAATCCTTTTTTATTTCTCCAAATCAATCAAGATGGAAATAAAACCATATTACGGTAAATAAAAATTAATTTCATACCTACCATAACGTTCTAAAAATTATGACTTCGAAGTGGCCCGTTAACAGGTACTATTTTGGAGACGTGAGCTTAGATTCAGCTTATCGCCTTAGAATCCTGGTTGCGAACTTGAATACAGTGAGACAATTCAAGGGGGGGGGGGGTGGCCTGAAAAATATTAAAACAATGATTTTACGTTGTTTCCCCTTTTCGTTTGGTGTCCAGATAAGTACGTTTCAAGCACTGATCGGAACAGATGATGAGCTGACTTACGTTATCTATAACTATAAGAGAATCGACTGGAGTGGCGTTCGGGTAAGAAATAGTGGCAGCACAAAAAAAGAAGGGTGAACACGAAAAAAAGTGAACGAATACAATTTATAATTTTAAATTATGTTAGAACCCGTTAAATAACATCTCTTCTATGGTACCCTCAAAGTGGTAATTTACATGGAATCATTCGTATTATTTCTGTCTCCCCACATTGAAGGAGATAATAAACATCAATCTATCTATTGGTAAGTTACATATATATTTGCATTTACCATTTATGAGGGCGCTGCACTGTAGCGACCAATATACTTACATGACTTCTTGCACCTGTTATTTTGTCTAGAATTTATGTTTCTGTGATATGACATTGGACTGTGTATCAAACCAGGATGTATTTTGGAAATGTGACCCTCACCTGGTTGTGTTTGACTGGGTTTTGTTCATGCCTCGTTTGTAATCTCCACTGCCAAAATGGACTACCTGCAACTCATATACAATACGATCGAGGATTCTTGCTCTACCTCGCCGCTATACCTTCGTCTTTTGATCCGACCCCCTGACCTTACCGAGTGGGTGTAAAGAAGAGAGGATCCCCCTCCTTATAATTAGGAGAATGCCTGCCAAAGAGGAAAGCACGGAGGGATCAGACAGCGGGATTCGGTGACGGGGTCATCGCATTGAGGCGTGCCGGAAGCAGTTTGGATTCGGGGTGGGGGCAAACATTTTAGGGTGCTTAACTTTTAGGGGCAGTGGCGTAATGAGCAAAAACCACTCTAACATGTTACATGCGGGCCCCACGGAACGTTTTTCAAAGTGGAGTATTAACGATCAGGTAGAGCGGTCAAGGGGCGAAGCCCTCGGAAACTCCGGAGTTTCAGGCATTTAATTACAGTATTAGATGAGCATACATTGATACCCTATTGTGACACTGGCAGGTCACCAATTGGCGGGGTCTAGGGGCTGAGCCCTATGAAACTGAGAGGTTTTAGGCATTTAATTACGGTCAGATGTGCATCCAGGTGCCCGCTTTAGGGCTCTTGGTGGGGTCCAGGGGGTAGAGCCCCCGGAAGCTCAGTGTTTTGTTTAATGTATCTAATAACGGTCAGATGAGCATCCAGAAGCCCTCCTCAGGGCCCCTGGTGGGGTCCAGAGGGAGAGCCTCCGGAAGTTCAGGGATTTTATGTATTTTTTTAAGGTTAGATGAGCATTTAGAGGCCTGCCTTAAGCCCTTGGTGTGGTCCAGGGGGCAGAGCCCCCGTCAACTCGGGGTTTTAGGCATTTAATTACGGTCAGAAGAGCATATAGTTTGATACCCCATTTGTGACACTGGCAGGTCACTCATTCTTTCTTTTTCTCTTTCACATGCTTTTTTTTTTTTAAGTAAGTGAGTCCTCGGAGCCCCGCTATTCTGCAGGTGCTGACATGAAGGCTTTTAAATAAGCATATTTTTGGCCCGACTGTAAATTTGGGAATTCGTAATTTTCCAACAAACGCATAAAGAAGTATAATTTACCCCAAAAATGGGGGAAAATCCCGGAAAATCATTATATTTCAGCAATATTTGTAACTCACTGGTATCGAATTAGAAATAAATCATGTTCAAATTTATGTGGGGGCCAACTGACCCCCCCCCAGCCCCCTCCCCCATCTCAACCCTATAATACAATACACACACGCTTTCCCATCCTCTCACACTATTTCCACAATATACATGTATTGCTATTATAAAATCGTCCATTGATAAATATAGGGACATGCGGAATATTTAGGAAACTCAATTGCTGTTTAATCTCCTTTTCTTTGAATGGAATATAATTTTTATGTGATTCAATTCAGGTTTCATTATTTCTAATTTTCTTTTTGGTTAACACTATTTTACTCCTTTACTGCTGATTTTTTTTCGGGGGGAGGGGGGAGAATGCGTTTTGCCCCCCACTTTTCCCTATGGGGCGACCCCCCCCCCCCCCTCTGCCCCCTACTTACGGCGCCCTTAGTAACGTAAGAACAATTACAAACGAAATTGACGAACTGCAACAAAATGTGAGTTATCATGAATACAGAAACTCAAGTCTTGTATATATGACGGAAAATATGTTCAGACGTTCAATCTAACAACATTGAGATAAATGGCTTCTACTCCATAAAGTTGGATCAGTGTTTGGAAGAGAAATACCTAGCCCTGAAGAAAAAGTCAAGATCTGCATGCAAACAAACAATGACTACATCAGGAACATCATTTCACCCGAGTCCAAATGCAACCAGAAACGGTTTTGGTCATTCATTAACAGTAAGAAATGTGATACAACTGGAGGAATCATCCAGTCTGACTGTACCTCCAAGGCAGACACCCTCAACAAACAGTTTGCATCAGTATTTACCAAAGATGAGTTCTCAACTAATATCCCAGACAAAGGCGATATTCCTTATCCCTCCATGGAAGACATTTACATCTCTCCAGCTGGTGTCAACAAGCTGTTATCTGGACTTGATCCTCCACAAAGCGACAGGCGCGGACTGAATATCGGCTGGGTTACTCAAGGTACTTGCTGATGAAGTCACCCCAGTACTTACAACATTATTCAAAGCATCTGTTGTACAAGGCGTTATTCCAGATGACTGGAGGGTGACAAATGTTGCTCCTGTGTTTAAGAAAGGAGCATTCCACAGAATTATAGACCCATTTCTCTGACAACTATTCCATGCAAAATCTTGAAGCATATCAGCTGCAGCTGGCGCACCATGAGTCACCTTGATGAAAATAACATCCCTTCAAATGCCCAGCGTGGATTTCGCAAACGTCGTTTGTGTATCAACAAATTCATCCTCACCTGTGACGACCTTGCCAAGGGACTAAACAGAGGCGAACAGCATGACATGATTATGTTAGATTTCTCAAAGGCCTTCGACAAAGTCCCTCACCATCGACTTCTATACAAACTGAAATTATATGGCATCCATCAGTCTACACTGATCTGAGCTGGATACTTCCTCCACAACAGAACACAGAAAGTAGTTCTCAATGGATGTCTCAGACACTGTCCCAGTCTCATCAGGGGTACCGCAATGTAGTGTCCTCGGCCCGCTTCTCTTCCTACTTTACGTACATCAACGACCTACCTGACAAGTGTCTCTATCCAATCAACAACCAGATTGTTTGCAGATGACTGTCTCCTCTACCGCAAGATTTGCTCTCAAGATGATGCAAAAAAAAACTGGAAGAGGATCTCAACTCCCTGCAGCAGTGGGAATCAGACTGGCTGATGAGATTTAATCCTCATAAATGTCAGACCATCTCAGTCACTAAAAAGAGGACCCCAATTAACATACTCAATCCATGGTCAATCACTGGAAAAGGTCAGCTCTTCCAAGTATCTTGGTATACACATACAGCAAAATATGAGCTGGAATCACCATATTAGCCTGGTTGCCAAGAAGGCAAACTCCACCCGTGCCTTCTTGCAACGCAACGTGAGCTCCTGTCCAAGAAACATCAAGGTGCTATGCTACATCGGGTATTATGAAAAGCCTGGAAAGACTGGTACTTGCAAAGTTGATATGCTCAGTTCTCCCGCTATACTCGATGTAAACCAGTTTGTATATAAAGCGAAGACGTGTTGTGTTACTGATGCAGTTCTCACCTTGACAAACATGCTGTAAGAACACTTATATAAGGTAAGGAGAGAGCAACTTTTATTGACTTCTCATCGGCATTTAACACTATAGAACCCCTTATCCTACTACAGAAACTTCAACATCTACAAGTTCAGCCATCTCTTTATTGTGGCTGCAAGACTTCCTCCGTGAAAAGACACAGAATGTCAAGGTCAACGGTGTTCTCTCTGACGCACTTATCACAACAATTGGTACCCCCACAAGAATGTGTCCTCACTGCGACCCTACTAACCCTGTACACCAATGAATGTATGTCCAATACCCCATCTGTTCACATAATAAAATATGCAGATGATAGTATAGCAGGTGGAAATGAAAATGAAAATGAAAATGAATTTGATTACCCGGTACAGAGCTACCATTTCCATGATCGAAAATTGGTGTTGGGGAAAACCATATACTGTTGAATTCAAAGAAAACAAAATAATTCGTTTTTGACTTTAGGCAAAAGAAATGTTTTGAACCCATTGAAAGACCTGTATACTTTAATTATGATACCATTGCGAATGTTTAAAGTCATAGATACCTAGGCACATAAATCGACAATAAGCTTTCTTGGGAAGACAAGTCAAAGTGCACCCTAACAAAATACAACCAGCGTATGTATTTTCTTAGAAAGTAAAAGTACTTTCATGTGAACAATAGATTTCTGTTTCTCAGTCTAGTCAATCATTTAGAGTACTATCACATTTCATTCCACTATCTGGTTTAATACTGCAAAGCAAAGAGACGAACAAAAGCTGAGAAGGGTTGTAAAACAAGCCAGCAAAATAATGAACCATACCGTTGACCTAAATGAGGTCTGTAAGGAAAGAGTAGTTTCTAAGACCCTAATCATTATGTCTGATCCAACCCACCCCCTTAATTACCGGTACATACAACTGAGAAGCAGACGAAGATTGAGATCTGTAAAAGCAAGAACTATTCATTAATTCATTCAACTTTCAATAAGAGTTGTTAATGAAATCAAGTAGAGAGAAGAGTTCTAAACGAACACAAGAATAGAAGAGAATGTGAAAACTATGCAAAAATGATTTGTTAGCATATTTACTTAGGTATACTGTTGTACCCCCCTACTGTTATACCATATCAAGGAATAATTTTTAAAAACTACCTGCTTCAGATTTGAGAATATAAAAGAAAAGGGTGGGTATATCAAAAGAGAGAGAAGAAGAAAAAGAAGAAAGAAAGTAAAAAGTATATTCATCAGGATCTATATTGAGTGTATACTAAAAACAGGGCCTTGAGACTAATGGGGTTGAACAAAATTCGGACAAACGTGTTTCAAGTTTTAAGTTTTATTTGTTCCGCATTTTACCAAAAATATGGACATACATATAAAATAAAATAACAAATTATACAATACATGTATAGTGTATATGAGCACGTCCCAATGATTCTCAAATCATATAATAGATTAAGTAGAATATGAGGAACCTATCAAAAAGCAGTGCCTGTATATTTATTAATGTAAATATGAACAATTATCCTCTATGGACATAATAAATAAATGGAATGACCATTGAAGAAAAATCTAATGCAGATATATGCCTTCCAAATGAGAAAATATAACTGTCGATTTGATTTTAAGTTTTTATGAAGCTTAGTTTTTCATAAATGACATTTAGTTATTAGAAAATGGTCTTATAAGAATGCTTTGATTTTTAAAAAGATGGCGTATAACGAATCAGAGCTATAGGCCTTAAGATTGCATCTGACGTTTAAAATAAAATATATATATATATATATATCATTTAAAAAACTGTCATTACTCATTTCTACGAGATTGTGATTTAACACAAAAGATTGTAGGATGTCTTTCAAATCTTGGTAATAACATGATGTTATTTAATGGATAACACAAGGAGTCCCATCAATACTTGTTGTTATCATCAATATCCCCATCAGTTTTCATCATTGTCACCATCATCATCACCATCATCATTGGCATCATCACATTCATCATCAACACCTCCATGGTCATCATCAACACCTGCATCACAACCATTGCCATTACTGACCATCATCTTCACCATTATCTTCATCATCATAATGATCATTATTACTATCATTTTTATTATTTTTATCAAGGCTGGAATATATTATAGGTCCGCTAGTAATCCTAACCTGGTACTTACCTTGGCTGATCTGGTGACAGGTAGTAACTATGGAGTACAAGGAAGTTGGTTATTCGAAGTCTCAGAAACAATTCGTGAGATAGGAAAAGGTACATTAAATGTAGTAATGTTATTTATTGTAAAATACGCTTTGTCGAATAACAAGACTTTCATTCCAAAACGAATTTAAGTAAATCAACGGATCTCTTTTAATTTACCTCTTTTCCTTGTTAGTTATCACTCCTGTTTTTTTAATGGTAGGGATATTGCTATATATAAATGTGCTTATCTTTAAAAAGAAATTCTAGCAATGAATTCTATTTTTCATATTTTTATGTAATTTGAATTTGTGTAGATTGAGATCCTTCTGGAATGAAACTCTGGTCTACCATCTCTCTTTGCACTTTGAAACCACTTTAAAGTGACTCGGTAACATTGTTGAAGGTTGATGAAAAAATTGCTTAATTTTTGTATAAAATGTTACTTATTATATTCCTTCTACCGCAATAACCCTCTGACATGCAAAAAATCCTGAAAAGATTCTCAATCCACAAATATTTATGGTTTTCTTTGAAGGCGTCGCTGTGCAACACCCTCTAACAGTGATCAACAGTAAATTCTCCCAATTTTTGAATTTATCCAACCGTTTTTCCATGAAAAAAGACATAAAACAGGGTATTAAAAATCTGTCAACACTTAAATGTCTGGAATGGTATGTAGAGCCAATTTGTTGCTTTGTGACAATTTACATTCACCTAAAATGCAATTAAATTGTAATAATATAGTTGGGAGAATTAAGGAATCGATTAGAACAGTTTTTCCCAATTTGTATCATTAATAATAGTCCGTTTTCACTCAAATTTTCAGATTATCTGGAGAAAAAAAATTGTGTGTGTGCTAAAAGGTTACCCAAAAAAGTGACCTTACCCCCCCCCCCCCCTCCCCCACCCCTAACTGAATGAAATATTGGTCGGCCAATTTTAAAATTTCTCGAACAAAAAAAAAAATGTGCTCTTACCCCCCCCCTGTTTATTCACCGACTGGCTGAGTCGTTGCACAATTTTTTTGAAAAATATGCTCTTACCCCCCCCCCCCCCCCTCATAGCTAAATGTGTAACTCCTGTATTAAGAGACAAATTTAAAATGTGAACTAAGGGTTCTTCAAGGGTTTTTCAAGAGACAGTTTATAATTCCGTTATAACCAGAAATCTGATTATTCTTCATTTCATTGATAACATTAATAACTTCAATTTCAATAACTGGAATGAAGTATAAAGCTATCAGATTTTAAGCAAAGAGAAAATCAGTAAAGTGAATAGCCTATTTGTGGCGGGAATTTTCCTGGCAAAATTTTTGGCAAGAAAGGCACAAATAAACTAGATTGAGAGGCTGTCTGTCGTTGATTGCATCTGGTGTAGCAGAATACCTCTCTATCCGCCTCCGTCGTCTAGTGGTAAAACACCAGGGGCGTTTCACAAAAGCGATTCCAGCGTAGACAAGCTTTTGCAAGCTTTGTAATAATTTCCAAAACAAAAGGAAGCATTGTTATAGGAGGAACAAGAAATTTTAAAGCTATATACTTTAATTGTTTGTCTCATCCAGTTTATTTATCACTGTAACTTCGATAGACCACATAGGAATATAGATTTGATTGTCAACCACTGTGTTTCTTATATTTTTCCAACAGTTCTATGTGAACCGACCAACCCTTGTCTCAATGAAGGAACATGTGAGAACGATACATGCGTTTGCGCCGAGGGTTTCAGCGGAAACTTCTGTCATTTAGGTAAAAAACAAAAGACTAATTTTATGTTGGCAAACTCTGCTTTTTCTAGACTGCTGGTAAATTTAAAAATGGAGATGTTTTGGGTTTTGTGGAGAAAAAATATCATTGGCTATCTGGAGGGTAAATGTGGTCCAATAACCCTCCCCCATTCATAAAGGTCTATGTAGGTATTAACAAAAGGAAAATGTTGTTTATAATTATGTTTCAATATCCCTGCTGTATTTGTATATGTATGTTAAATGTACATTCAGTTATTAGGGAGCTCACTAGCATAATTGCTATTCCTTTGTACAGTCAAACCTGCCTACAGCGGCCGCCCAAGGGAAACTCAAAAAGTGGTCTTTGTAGACAGGTACCTTTAGTACATGTTTCAATGAGAAACCATTTTGAAGGAAAACAAAAAATGTGGTCCTTGTAGACAGGTGGTCTTTGTAGACAGGTGGTCGCTAAAGCAGGTTTGACTGTAACGAGATGAAATGTGATCAATGGCAAGGAGTCAGTGTATCATCCTACAGGACAAGAAGCTGTGTTACGAGCTCATTAAATTGGCGATAGCCATTCAGATTCTGCTTCGTACATTTAAATGCACACTCTGATGAAAGCAGGATTTTACTTTCCAATTATATATTTATTTGTTTTGATTCATACCAAAATTAATCAAACTAGAATCGAATTAGAAAAATTAAAAAACATTGAGAAAATTGAAAGCAATTGATATTTGGTCTCTAATTTTGTTGGACTGCGGGTAAGTTACCTGCATGAATTTGCAATCCTAATAGGGACTTTTAGATTTACAGGACGAGAGCGTGGACTGCCGCGTGTGACATTGTGTTAAGGCACTGGGGCGTGCCCGGCAGTGCCTTAAAAGGACGTCACATTACCTTAAAATGATGTCACACGTGGCGGTCCACGTTCTCGTCGTGTAAATCTAAAAGTCCCTATATTGCACACCTGGATTCACTGGTTCTCTGTGTGAATATAGTAACTACTAAGGGCTTGATTATTCACGAATGTTGGGTAGCCCGAAATCAACTAAGTAAGCCACCCCTTTTTTGTTTAAGGCTGAAAGGCCGGACTACTAAGTAAATCACTGTATCACTCTCTTTTTGTATAGGCTCGGTGTAAAGGCCCAGGGGTCTCAGTCATGTAGAAATACTGTATAGCATGCGTGACCACATGTTTTCCAGACACCCCCTAAACAAGGATTTCTTCTGAAGCCAAAATACACCCTAAATGAGGATTTCGTGTGGTTTTTTTCCCCGAATTCACACCCTGTAAACGGGTATTTAAAGAAAGTGTAAGCCTACACTTTTTACTCCATAAAATCAACATCAACTTGTACACTTCCAAATTGGTTTAATGAACAGCCATCACAAGTCCTTTCTTTGAAAAAAAGAAATAAATTTTGAGTTTGATCTATTTATATAAAGTACATGTACAGCGTTTACAAAAAGTACACAATCTACAATGAACAGTTACTATTCGACTATGCTCAACAAAATATAAGAGGCCAGCTATAGGCGTGAAACTTGGTAGGTCTGGGTCGGTATCGTGGGCATCCATCTTGATCTCCTGAAGATTACCCGGTAACAAACAACACGCGCGTGGCGAGTGCTTTAATAGCTAGCTAAGGTGTATTGCAAAGAGAAAAGACTCTGGGTGCATGCAATACCCTGCCATGCTACCTACCTCTCGCGGCCGTCGTCCACACTATAACCAAAGATGACAGAGCGCCGCAGTCTATCATCTTTGCTATAACTGGCTAGGTGGCGCGCCAGGCGGCGGCCTGAAACGTCTCACCAATGTGAAATTAATACCCCCTCCCCCCTCCCCCCCCCCCAGTCTGGCCCTGAGGGCTAGAAAAAAAAACCTATACGCGTATACCGGCGCATACAGCAGGATTTTGAACCATTTTGAAAAAAGTGACCGTTTTCTTGAAAATGGCCCAAAATTGATGTTTTTGAAGCTCTTATTGCCGCCGCGTGGAAGGTGTGACGGCGTTTAGTGTGACTGGCGGATCGTGTTCGCGGAACAAAATCCGCCGGCAGATATTGTTCCCGTCACAAAATCTGCCGGCAGATATTGTAACCCACCACGCAGAGTGGCTGGCAGATAGTGTTCCGTTTTGCAGCTATCGTTCCATTCTGAAGGTATCGTTTTTATGAGTGGTATACGGTCTCCGCTTGCTGCATGCATGCATGCTGGCTAGGCTGCGTGCGATTGCAATTGCATGTGTACCGTAGTACTATACTGTATACCACCATGGATGCTGAGTGCGAGTACGAGTTCGAGCAAGATCGAGGCCGCTCTTATTAAGAGTTTTCTCTTAACACCGTACTTCAAATCAGTTTATTTAAAGGTAATATCTTAGTTAAGGGAAAGGAATATATCATCTCTAGTTATACTTATTTCATTCAAGCACTATTTATTTTCATTGTATTTATCACCAGGATCTTCATTGTAACAGTATATTCCAGACAATGATGATATTTTTTATCACTATTTCAAAAAGTCAATTTATATATGAATAAAAAATATCTCTGGATATAAAAACAAGCGTTCTATGACGAAGTTTAAAAAAAAATTCCAGATCACTCGCTTGCTCACAAAGTATGTTCTCGATCACTATCATAATCCAAGTTCCTTTCTGATAAAGATGGTAATCCATTGTGATAGAAAGGCGACCAACATGTATATTACACTTTGTGTCTTATGAAGGAAAGTAAACAATAATCCTCCTCCATAATCGCCAATTTGTACACCCCTCCTTGACAATAGAATTATGCTGGATGAAAAAGAAGAAAAAACATTTCTGTGAAAAAAAAACTTCATTATTTTGGCTTGCTCGCTCGCTCGCAAATCTTTTTCTCTTTCTGTATCAGAATTGCTATATCTTCACTATTTGTGCTGATAGAAAGCGAGGGCAGGTGTACCAAAAATTCAAGGTTTATTTTCCCAAAACGCTACACCGTTAGTTTTAATGAAAGGACGATGACTGTGAGGGAATTTGCGCTATAATTATTTTGAAATAAAAATTCCAATGATTCCAAAAATTCGCTATCCACATCAGCTCGCCCGTGTCCTACACTGTCTTTACAGTATTGAACAATAACTATACTGATGAAACCCATTACAATTAAGAAAATAGTTTATGATATTTAAAATCTGTTTTTTCTATCATGTAGAGTGACCTTAAAGTTCACTCCCCCCCCAAAAAAAAAAAAAATGAAGGGAGGATATGGGATGATGCAAAGAGCCTCGATCACCCCCCCCCCGGCCCCACAATTCAAGTTTCGTAATCAGTACAACCGAATAAAAAAAAATGTTATAAATCTGTAAGGGATGCACAGTAATGGCAAATTTTAAATTGATAAAGAAATACAATATAATCCTTTTCGTCTATTGGATGCGGACAACTTCTAAAGGTGGCAGAATAACCTGAATTATACTCTGTAAGGATTCGAGAATAGTTTGAAAATAGGGGTAAAACAAATTTAAGTTTATTAGGTCTATATTGTTTTATTAGCTTATAAATCTATTTTTAAAGAAATGATCGAAGCCGTTGATAATTTCTATTTCTTGCAATTTATCATATAAAATCAAAGGAATCTGTTTTTTTTTTTTTTTTTTTGGGGGGGGGGGGGGGGCTTACCAATGTTTAAAACGCTACTATGGGAGTCAGGTTGTTTTATTCTAAAAGGTTTTATTGGCTAACAAATGCAGTAATACAAAAGTTTGAAAGATTCCAAACAAACACGTCAATTTGCTCTGACCAATCATGACCCTTCCCATATCTGCCTTCATTTTAGTTATAAATGAAAAGAAAGAAAATGAAAAAGCACAGAGACTGGATCACAGGAAAAATGTTTAATGAAATGAAATAAATACGTAATTAAATTATGATTTATTTCTGTTAAAACAGCAGTTGGGGAGGAGGTCTTATGTATAGGCCTCTAGAGGCCATTAGACCCACTCGGGCATAAAACAAAAATGCCAAAATGTCAATTATGCTGGTTTTAACATAAAATTAGAACGATGGACAAGAAGAATGGACAAGAAGAAAGAGAGACAACCAGGCTTTGTCGCCTGTGGGCGTCAATGCAATAAAGGGGGGATGCTTTTCGGAATAGCCTACAGATTCGATGTCCAATACGAACAAATCAGACAATAGTCTAGCAATCCGCCATGTTATTCACGATATAATTATCAGACCATGTCCTGTAGCCACTAGCGTACCTATGGGGGGGGGGGGGGGAAGGGGCCGGATTGCCCCCCCCCCCCCCCCGACGAAAAAGAAAGAGAAAGAAAAGAAGAAAAGAGAAAAGGGAAAAGAAAGGAAGGAAAAAGAAAAAGAAAGAAAAGAAGAAAAGAGAAAAGGGAAACGAAAGGAAAGAAAAAGAAAAAGAAAGAAAAGAAGAAAAGAGAAAAGGGAAACGAAAGGAAAGAAACTGAAAGAAAAAGAAAGAAAAGAAGAAAACAGGGAAAGAAAGGAAAGAAAAGGAGAAAGAAAAAAGGAGAGAGAGAGAGAGAGAGAGAGAAAAATGAAAGAAGTAGGGAAGGAAAGAGGAAAAGAGTGACGCATTTGCCGACAGAAATTTTGAAGGGCTTCATAAGCCCAGTTCCTGTCACTGTTGAGGGAAAAATCAGTTCGTAATGCCTCGCGCTCGCATGATTATTTTTTATCACTGATATGTGGATTCAGATACAAAAAGGGGGCTAATTACTTTTTTGTATTTGTTTTCAGGTCGATCACGATGTAGAAACAAATTAGTTGCATGTTTCAATATTATATGGGGTAATGATTACTTCAAAAGGTTTTTTAATTTGATAAGAGCCTAATTAAACCATGGAATAATTAACATTTAGGATAGGGAAGGAGGGTGGTAGATGCTATGCATTTGTTAATCGGCAAATTTGGATGACGTCGCACCCTTAAAAGTTGGCAGCAAATTTGGGTGTCACACCCCTAACCCTACCCCCCCCCCCCAATAAAACAATCTTTTTCGAATTATGAAGACTTTTCAAATCAACAAAACATAAGTAAGGTACGGGTATGCATGAAATCGCGCGATCGCAAACATCAAAATACCGTGGGAGGGGGGAAAACCCTCCCCCCCCCCCTGACGCGGTATGCCAGGTTCGCCACTGCCTGTAGCTATATAGGAACAAAATCCGCCAATGCACATTATCCGCCGTGTTCACTAACGGCAGATTTGGTTATAGCGGGTACGATATCCGCTGCTGATCACGATATCTGCTAGGCAGATTTTGTTCCGAGAACACGATCCGCCAAGGTAACAAGATCTGCCGTCACAAAGGCATCCAATCTGAAAAGACGCTTTGTTGGTCACCCAATCTCACAGTATTTATATTTGACTATAAGACCCCCGGGAGTAAAGGACGTATACATTACGAGCCATAGGATTAGATATTTGAAAGTCCTTGTCAGATTACAATTGTTGGATGTTTGGGTTTAAAGGACAGCAACCTGTTTATTGTTTTTTGGGGTAAGGGGAGGTTTAATCTAAATATGTCTATTAAAACAAAAAGAAAATGTTTCCTTCAAGCTAATTGTAAGCTCCGGTATGGGTCTCGTATGTCAAGAGAACATGGCTACAATTCATTCTAGATTATTTATCCTTTGGTAGGTTGACTGTTGAACCAGTAAAATAAAAACGACCATTTGCACATAGTGACCAATGACGCGGGGCCTACTTACCTTAAATTTCCTTATAAATCTTTCTTTGCTCACTACTCAGCCTCTTTATATTCTCTACCAAAATCGTTTGGCATAAGTCATCATCTATATGTATTCATTGACATTCAGTGTTTTTGTTTTTTGGGATTCTGTGAGAATTTTTTTCCTACCATTGCCAGAACTCAAGCTTTTCTTTAAGAACACTTGCCATTATTGTTAAGATATCAATGTGGGCATGCACGCATGCCCACATTGATATCTTAACAACAGAAATGAAAAGTAGCAAAAACGACAGCAAATCTAACTCGAACTCGTAAGTGACAACAAAAATTGTTTTACAATTAGCTCTTTACCTTCGTACTTTCTGGAGCCACATCATTTAATAAAGCAACTGTTGTCTCTAAATATTTTCAGATGGATGTGATAACCGTTGTCTCAATGGAGAGAGCTGTGAGCAAGGCAATTGCACATGTCCAGCAGGATTCGGTGGCGATTTTTGTCAAGATAAACGTAAGTTTCTTGAATATTTTTCTTGTGTTGGACGAATACCTGTTCATGATTTAGCCAGGATTATAAAGAATAAAATAAAATAAAAAATAAATAAATATTTTTAAAAAATTAAAAATAAAAATCGCAATTTTTTATTTCGGTTTCATTCAATATCAAAACAATACTAATAATCATACAAAAAGACAATTTGTTTCCTCATCATAATCACATAACAAAAATAATTTAATACATGTACAATTCATAAATTTTGATAAAAATAATGAATGAAATCAGTTATAATATAACACACATTAAAACTCCCTCCCTAATTACCTTCCCAAAACAAAACCACCATATCTGCAATACAGATGCACACTAACAGACGTGTACACTCCACAATAACATACACTCACACACAAGAACACCCTCAAATTAAAAAAAGGACATTTTGTATTATCTTCTCTCAAATCAAATACATATTGTACAAATCATTCTTAACAAAACTGGATACATTGTACATTGGATGAAAGCTAAATTGCAATAATAAAAAGAACTGTTTAGAAAACATTTTCATATATATGATCAAGAATACTATGTTAAACATACTCTCAACACCCTCATTCACACACTACTACCCCCCCCCCACCATGCAACACCCACACACACACACACACCCCACCCGACCGACCATACTTCTGCACATATACCACACACTGTTCCTAGCCTCCTCAAAATTGGAGCGACAGAATAATGGAATTGTCTAACTTCTCTATTAAGTATTCATAAACCTTCCTCAATATTAAATCTCTGAGGAACTTCACATTACTGTTAAACTGCATTGCACTGCTTTTACATCCACTCAACTCCAGTTATCCTTTTTTCCGCTTCTCAAAATAGCTTCCCCAATAGTCCATACATCAACAATTTTGTTTCCTTTTAACCCTAAATGTTGAAAATTAGATATTGACCACATGCCATTTTCAGCAGAAATATCTTGAACTGATATTATATGGCATGTAAACAACTCCTCATCAAAGATCATTTTCTTTAAAAAAAAAAAAATCGTTGTTGTTGAGAAACATTCCTACAACCTTGTAACTCTTCCCATGCTTTTATCTTGTCTAAAAAGAACTCAGGTAGTTACACAAGAAAATAAATCTACCTCCTACCATCTTGAAGCAGAAATCAAAGTATAGCTTCCATCTCATTGCTTTTCTCCGTACAATAGTCTTTCTACCCACATTACACGTTGGGTTTTTAAAAACGAGTCAAAATTAGTCATTCGTAACCTCACTTTATTATAACATTAATACAATGATATTAATCTCTTAATTTGATCTTTCCTATTCCAAATAAATGTAAAATATTCTTTCTGTATTTCCAATATGACCCATTTTGGAACCACTAGTGAAGCTAAAAACGTAATTTGATTTATATGTTTTAAATAAATGATTTTTTCTAAACACCGTGAGTTCCTTCTGTTTCCACCATCTGAGAAGTCTTTTAAGATTGCTTAAAATCTCCTTATAATTCAACGGCGTCTAAAACAAAATACACTCCAAAAATCTTAATTTCTTTAACCACATTCCCGGATGCTTAAACAATCCGTCTTCATGAACACACACGCACACCCTCACCCACACACACACCCTAATCAATTACGTCAAATTTCGCTTCTGACACCTGAGAGATAATTATGAAAAGGGTGGCGTTATTGACATTTTCTTTGCTCTTGACAATTCTCTTATACCAGTGACATTTGTTGAGTGTGGAAGTACTTCAATGACCGTCAACATAGATGAACGGCTAGTCCCAGGTGAAGCATCTGCTGTTCATTTTAAAGACCGATCCTGCTCCGGTGTAAAGAACGATAGCACTAATGAGATCACTCTCACTACAGAATACAATCAATGTGGCACCATCATTGAGGTAGGATTCCTTAAATGATAACTGGTACGAATCACTCCTGTACTTGCCATGGCTACCAATACCATGGGCGTGTGCAGGATTTGTGAAGAGGGGGTTTAAACATAATGTTTTGGGTTCCAGTACGTAGAGCGCAGCCCCAAACTGCGTGGTCCAGGGGCAGAGCTTTGAAGTTTGCTGTGACAGGCATGACATGCTGGATTAAATAGAATCTGTTTACTTTCATTCCAAATAACAATATATTTGTTATTCTTTTAAGTTCCGATAGAAGAGATCCCGGAATCTTTCTTACTCTGCATCCGATTCCGCCGTATTGTTGACGCTTCTGTATCTTTTCTTCTTTGTAAACTTAAGAAATATCATAACACGGTAATAAAATGTTATTTAACATCTTATTACGCTAGAATAGCACTTGACATTAAATCAATCAACAAAACAAATTTTAGGTGCAGAGAAGTCAACAAAATTGATTTTTTTTTTTAGGAATCTGAGCCACTGTGCCTCAAACGTTTTCACACGGTGGGTGCTAAGACACTTTTCTTCAACAAAACTGCCTACTATGTCTTGAAGGAGAATGCGTGACTTTCAATTTTCATCACTTTATCATATGGTTTCTAAAGAGCATTCGTCTTTCCTTCCTTTTCTTGCTTTTTGGTGGGGGGGGGGGGGGCGTGAGAGGGGCTTCAACCGCCAAAGGCCCCCCCCCCCGAACACTAGTGATAACAACAAAATATACCGCGATACTGGATTTCATTTTTGTTTTCGTAACATTATTTTATTTTATATTACTTGGTGTCATTATAGGAGGATAACACAACAATTACCTTCGTCAATGTTATCACTTACGCCAAGCCTGGTTCGGACGACGATACTGTAATTACCCGTGAATACCACATGCAGGTTAAGGTTGCATGTTGCCTCGAGAAAGAGGAAATCATCAGTGGGTCCTTCAGACCACAGCTTGGTGAGGTGTCCTTCAGCGACAAGGGCTCTGGTGACTTTAGTCTGAGCCTGCAAAGATTCCTGACAAATGCTTTTGTTGAGCTGAATTCGGACGCCACCACTGTCTTGCAAGGAGATGACCTCTACTTTGCTGTGACTCTTGAGTCAGTATCAGGTCTAATTGGTATGTTTATTGATCGCTGCTGGGCGACAACCACTCAAGACATGGATTCTGCTGGTCAACACTCTCTAATTGCTCAAGGGTTAGTAGAACTATTCATGAGCCTCGTGAAATAAATCATGTAGTGATGATAAAGTGGTTCATTCACTTGACTCTTATACCAAGGGTTGAGGTCCCGATCCAAGGCCGGCATGTAGGTCTTTTGGCAAGATATTACTCCACATTTGCCACTCGGGTTTTAATGGGTAATTGGTTTACTGCTGGGTTAATACTTATTTGAAGGCCCTCAGGAAGATCGGCATTGATGCTGATGAGGCTTCTCGACTTACTTCGTTCCATTGTGTGTTCACGTCAGGTTCCACAAATATTCGTGAAAATAACCTCATAATCACGAAAGGTCGTGTGCTTCATGTTGTTGGATTAAACGATTAAACATGAATCTGAAGTGCCAGATAGGATGCCCACAAATTATCCTGATGTTTTAACAAAATGCAACTATATTTCCAAAAACCTCAATTAAATTATGGCAAAAAATCTACTTTGCAATAAAAATGATTGTTATAATAAGAATGTTAATCTACATCTGCACAGTTCAACTTTAGTTGATGCAGTTAAAAATGATTTAGCATCCCATTTGGCTTTTCATATTTAAGTCATTCGTAAATGCATGCGTAACTTTACGAACAGCTTTATGAAACACCCCCCTAGATTTTTCACGAAAGTTTGTGTAACCCGAAGACGAAAAAAAAAAACGATGGAACAAAATAAGCCAGGCTTTCTATGGATAAACAAAATGAAAGAAGCAGTAGTAGTAGTACAAAGATTAATCGTTGTTGTAGATCATAGTACAATTTCTAAAAATTTGTGTTGTTGTTATCATTATTAGGTGGTCTGTCAATGACAGATCACCTATTGTTTTCGTCAGAATTTTCTTTCTTTATTTATTTATTTATTTATTTATTTATTAGGTGGTCTGTCAACGACAGATCACCTATTGTTTTCGTCAGAATTTTCTTTCTTTCTTTATTTATTTATTTATTTATTATTATTAGGTGGTCTGTCAACGACAGATCACCTATTGTTTTCGTCAGAATTTTCTTTCTTTATTTATTAGGTGGTCTGTCAACGACAGATCACCTATTGTTTTCGTCAGAATTTTCTTTCTTTATTTATTTATTTATTTATTAGGTGATACGTACGTAGACGTATCACCTTTTGATTTCGTCAAGATTTTTATTATTATTTATTTATTTATTTATTATTATTCTTCCTCGAATTTGTTCGCAGGATATCTCAAGACTGAATGAAGCCATTGTTATGAATCTTTCAATGATGATAGATCTTAGTCTAACTTAGAACTGCGTGAATTTTCAAAGACTCAAAATCATCGTGACGTCATCCAGGCGCCATTTTGTGAAAATCAACTAATGATCATATCTTCATAACGAATAGTAATTTTTCATTCATATTTATCATGATTTAGATCAATATCCGTCCGGTCAATTTTAGGTCAATAAACGTGCGTAAATGCGCGCGTGCGCGCTCGTCCGCGCGTTTACGCGCGCGCAAAAATTTAAAATGCTCCAAATCATCCCAAATTTTTTTTGCATACGTTTCAGGCCATATAGAGCATTTGATAAAAAAATTACGCACACGCGCATGCGCGCGCGTTTTCGCGCGTACTGGCATTTTGCAACATAGAATCGCCGATTTTTTTCTGTCATCATATTCGGTACATTTTTCCAAGCATTTTTATAATTTGTTCACCTTTTATTAACGCAATGAGCGTCCGTCAAAGTTGACAGCACGCGCGGATTTGCGTTATCTTTATCCACAATACATGGGCAAAAACATGCCTATATAAAATTAATTGTAACTCTTTAGAATAGATAGAAACTCCTAATATTTTTTCATATTTTAATAGATTATGAGTCGGAAATATGATTTCATGTCTCATTTTATCCTCAATTAACTCATGACGTCATCATAATGGCCTCCAAACTCAAAATTTCAATTTGCATATTATGACGTCAGCATATTTTTTGAAAATTGATTGTATCTCTGTAAGTATTGATCAATTTTCTTTTTAATTTTGATATGTTCTAGCTGAGACAATGTTCTACAAATGTAGTATTCACAATTTTTATTTTTGACAAAAGTATCATGGTGTATTTTTGCGATTAAAGGAGGCATGTCAATTTTTCACATTTTGCGTGTATTGTCTATGGGACATGACTATTTCTCAAAAATGCATTCTACATTTCCGTCTTTCGCGAGCAAAATCTCCGTTGTTTTAGCTTCGTTATCGCTGAGCTTAGGATATGTTGTAGCTGAGACAATGAGCTATCAAAAGTGTGCCTTTTATTTTTCGATTAGATGCCGGGATCATAAATATTTCACTTGCAAAGTAGGATTTCTGAATTCCATTTCCCGTTTACGTGTAATCGCTATGGGAGATGTTTTGGTATATCGGTAACGCACTTGACTTCCAACCTCGAGATCCCTGGTGTCGAGTCCGGGTGTCTCCAACACTTTTTTTTTCTTCACTTTTTTTTCCTTTTGACCTTCACTGTACCATCTCCTTTGATTATTTAAACACGTAGATTCGCAAATAATGTCATAGATAACCCTTTTTACTTTATTATTACCCTATTTTCACTTAATCCATTACTTTTTGCGTGTAATCCCTAAGGGAGATGACTTTTTCTAAAATCTGGAGTCTACATTCCTGTCTTTTGCTAGCAATATCACCGTTATTTCGGCTTGGATTTTGTTGATTTTTGAGTATGTTGTAGCTGAGACTATATGCTATCTAAATCAACCCTCATTTTTTCAATAAGATGTCATGATCGCGCTCATGATCATGATCATGATCATCATGATCATCATTATCATAATGATGATAATCATTTATCAATTACATTTTCATTTCTTTGAATAAGATAAAATCGTCAAAAGGTGTTCTTCATGATGTAAATTAGAGTCAAATGTGTAACTGGTTACTGCACAGGTTCAAAGGTCATATATTGTTTCAATCTATCTTCCCTAGATCCATGATGATCAAGGAGACACAATTTAATCTTGCCATATGAATAGATCATAATGGGAGAAGCATATGAATGGGAGAAGCATTTTACAAAATAATATATCGTGTAATGCATTATTCGTTATGTAAACCATTATCATACGTATCACCTAATTCGTCTAAGTGACGAATTAAAGTCTAGTTTATTATTATTATTCTTTATTTTTATTTATTTCTTCACACTTTTTTGTTCACAGAATAACTCAAGATCGGTTTAATCAATTTCCTTCAATTTTGGCACAGTCATAGGCCATTGTCATGAGACGTGACAGTAACATTTTCAAGGTCATCAAATTTTCATGACGTCATCCAGGCGCCATTTTGTGTTTATTTTGGTACTTTTTACTCATGATCATATCTTCATAACGGAAAAGCATTTCTCATTCATATTTATCACGATTAAGGTCAATATCCGTCCGGTCAATTTCAGGTCAAAAAACGCGCGCGCATGCGTACGTCCGCGCGTCAGCTCGCGCGCAAATTTTTAAAATGCTCAAAATCCTATCAAATTAATTTTGCATACGTTTTAGGCCATTTTAAGCATTTTGCAAAAAAACGCGCACACGTGCATGCGCGCGCGTTTTCGCGCGTACTGGTATTTTCCAACATAGAATCGCCAATTTTTCTCTGTCATCATATTTGGCACATTTTTTCAAGCATTTTGATACCTTGTTTACCTTTTTCTGACCATTAATAACGGAATGAGCGTCCGTTTAAGATAATTTCCGTGCGTGCGAGCTCTTGTAATACATAGCATACATGGGCAAAAACATGCCTATACAAAATCCATTGTAGCGCTTTAGGATGGAAGTTGAACCCAATTTTTTTTCCATATTTTGATAGAGTATGAATTGGAAATATGATTTCATGTCTCATTTGACCCTCAATTAACTCATGACGTCATCATAATGGCCTCCCAACTCAAAATTTCAATTTGCATATTATGACGTCAGCAGATTTCTGGAAAATAGACTGTATCTCTGTAAATATTGATCAATTTTCTTCCAAATTTTGATATGATCTAGCTGAGACAATTCTCTACAAATGCAGTTGCCACGATATTACATTTTGACAATGGCATCATGGCTTATTTTTGCGATTAAAGGAGGCATGTCAATTTTTCACATTTTGCGTGTATTCTCTATGGGACATGACTTTTTCTCAAAACTGGATTCTACATCCTGTCTTTTGCGAGCAATATCTCCGTCGTTTTAGCTTTGTTTACGCTGAACTTTGAGTATGTTGTAGCTAAGACAACAAGCTATCACAAGTGTGCCCTTTATTTTTCGATCAGATGCCGGGATCATGCTCATATTTCAATTACAAAGTGGGATTTGTGCATTCCATTTTCCGTTTACGCGTAATCTCTATGGGAAATGTTTTGGTATATCGGTAACGCACTTGACTTCCGACCTCGAGGTCCCTGGTTCGAGTCCGGGCGTCACCAACAATTTTTTTCTTCACTTTTTTTTCTTTTTGACCATTCACTCTACCATCTCCTTTGAATATTAAAACACGTACAATCGCAAATAATGTAATAAACAACCATATTTACTTTATTATTACCCTATTATCACTAGATCCATTACTTTTTGCGTGTAATCCTTATGGGAGATGACTTTTTCTCAAATCAGAATTCTACATTCTTGTCTTTTGCGAGCAATATCGCCGTTATTTCGGCTTGATTTTTGTTGATTTTTGAGTATGTTGTAGCTGAGACTATATACTATCTAAATGTTCTCTCATTTTTTTCAGTCTGATGTCATCGTGGTCTGTTGATGATAATCATCAACATCATCATGATCATCATCATCATCGTCATCGTCATCACCATTACTATCAAGATCATCATCATCATCATCATCATCATGATCATCATTGTTTACATGTCTATATAACTTCTCCCTTTCTCAATATAGTAAATATTATAATCTATCATAAGACTTGAAGACAGACCACCTAATTCGTCCCCATGACGAATTAAATGTCTAGTTTATTTATTAGGTGGTCTGTTATCAACAGACCACCTAT